CCAGACAATGAAACCAGCAGAGTGGCTGCAGTAGCAACCAAGACACTGGCATGATAGTGTGCCTGTGGTGGCAGTGATTCTTTTTCTTCCCTGCTTCCCAAGTCAGTGACTAGAGTTTCTGCCCCAGTGGCCCCACTCTTATTATGCTACTGAAATTAAATATCCCTTTCTCTTTGCCTGCATCCATCTCAGCAATTTAGATTACAAGCTCTGAGACAGTGGCTATCCAGTCCTCTGTGTTTGTACAGTGCCTAGCACAACAGGGATTTGACCCTAATTAGTCTATAGCCATCACCCAAACAATCATGATCGATTATCATAAAAGACCACTTCTGCAAAAGTGAAGATGGTTGCAAGTGATGAAAAGATGCATGCATCAATTCATGGGAAAAACAAGTCATTTTGCCTGGAGCGGATCAACTATTTAAAAAGCTTTACTGATTTACTTATATGGACAATGTAATTTAACACAGATGCAGGGACAAGGCATGGTATAAAACCAGTTACGAGGCATGTGCTACCTAACAGCAGTCAAAGTGCAGTTTCTCAGAGCAATTAAGGGGTGCGATAAATTATACAATTATTAACCTAAAATGACAGAAATGTGTTACCTGTCACAAGCAGAAGCAGATAGCCATTACCAAAAATGGATAAGTACAACTTTTTCTATCTTTCAAAATGCCCTTTCAGATAGAAGGTTGAACACCCAGGAGCAGTACCTGACCTGGAAAAGCTATTTATTAGACGTTAGAAGCCAAGAGGCAGCATGATGGCACAGGGCTTCTTAAACAGATATCCCTTAATTTCAGAGATTGGTGGCTTCTGGAGAATATTCTTCCCTGTTTCTTCAGCATGAAAGATGTCTTTTGCACCATCCCTGGTGCTGAGTTTGCTGAGACTCCACATAATTTTTCTGTGGAGGGGCACAAATCATGAAGGAAATGATCCCTGAGCCAAATTCCTGTCTCTGTTATTCCAGTACAAATAAAACCAGAACTTATGTGGAGTGTAGCTGAGGTTACTCCTTGAAAAGTTACATTAGGACAACAGGTCTCATGAGCAAAATTATTTAGCATTTCAGCTGAAAGTGAAACAAATGTAGCATTGATGTATAACACAGGTGCTCCTATTTTTTGGTTTGCATGCCCCTGTTAAAGTTTGTTGTATTGCTATGATTCCCAGTTACATATCTTAAAAAATAACACTTTACGTCCCTACAGCAGCACTGTAAATGCATCAACAACTTAAATGATTATGCAGAGTTGATTACCAGTATTTTTCTTTGATTTCCTTCATTCATATTGCCTTTTCCCCTTCTACTCTCCCATTCCATCCTTTCACGTAACCCAGTGGGGCTCAACCTTTTTGGCCAGCAGACCAGATGGGCAGTGCCAAAGCCATCCATGGGTCAGCTGGATCCGGCTGATGGTCCTGATCTGGCATGAGGCAGTCATGGGAGGGTCCCATTCAGCTGTGTGGAGGAGGCCAGAGTGCATCCCAGTTCCAACATGGCCTTGGGGTGGGGGGAAGGGAGGTTGTGTAGCCCAACCCCACATGGCCTAGCCCCAACCCAGCCTTGTGGGGAGGGAGAGGTGTGGCCCAGTTCCATGGGGATTTTACCTGGCCCGAGGAGGGGTGGGGGGCAGTGGGGGCTTTAGCCACCCCAAGCTGGCCCCATGTGGAAAAGGGAGCATGGCCCAGCCCCATTCAGCCCAGGGGGAGGCACATGGTGCAGCCTTATCCAGCCTCAGGAGTGACGGGAGGCTCCAACCTGCCCCAACTTGCTGCTGGGGCCGTGGGGTTTGGGACTTTGGCATGGGGGAGGGTGGCTGTGTTAACTGCCACCGCTTCCCTACTGCAAAATCTCCTGAGCCATGGGGGGCCCTGAGGGCTGGATACTTATTGCTCTGCGGGTTGTGTTCAGCTCATGGGCCAGAGGTTGAGCTCCCCTAATGTAACCTTTAGAAGTTCACTACATACCCCCAGGGGTTCATTTACCATAGTTTGAAAAACAATGCTGTACAAAAAATTCTTGGGAGTTAGTTTTGACACACAAAAATCATCCCCATAAAAGGAGCAAGAAGAAGTGGACTAACTATATTTGTCTTGGTATTGTTATTATTTTGCTTGACTAGATTCATTTCTTCATCTCACAGGATCATAGCTGCAATTTCTATCATTTTATTTTCCCCAAGTGAGAATTGCATATAGTCTATGTATTAGAAATGGGTTTCTGGATCCAGACAAACTGATAAATTCCCATGATTTTTCTCCCATCATCTCATAATCTGTCTCTTTCTGGATCTACTTAGCACCTTTTTCAAACTGCCGCTACCAAGGATGAATGAAACAGCACTCTGGGTTGTGATGCTGGTTAACACAAATATGCAGTAGCTTGTGAAGATGTTTCGTCTCACTTTTGAATGGCTCCAGCTTTGCAAGCCAACCCTGGCTCTACTGAGCAGCTTTGGCAGTGATTTTTGGCAGCATCCCCAGCAACTAGCCTGCCTCCAACTTCACTGGGAGGACAAGGAGCAAGACAAGGAGAAGAGGTGGAATTGGAGGAGGAGGACATAGACCAGCTGCTTCAAGGAGAACTTTTCTTGGAGCAGTTTCATTTGGCTTAGTGTCATCATTTCTGGACTTGTGAAATAAATGTGAAGTTGGGGAGAGAATTTAGGTGAAGACATCTCCTGCAGTGACAGCAGAATTTTAGGATGACTAAGGGCACTTTTCTCAACATCTGCACTAAATTTCCCATGCAGCTGCAGAGGCAACTACATCAACATGAAAGCTTTTTTTGTCCAGTACAACATGGCCATTGCCACCTAGAAGCTGATTCCCTCTCCATCTTTATTGCTACACTATTGATTTGGTGCAGGCAGATCAAATTGGGCGGGGGGAGCGGGGTTGTGGGGAAGATGTGTGATGGTATTTAGAAGGTAATGTCAGTGCATATCACAAGTCTTGGCAATCTTCAGGAGGTTCCTGATGGCTTTGCTGATACTGTTTCCCATTTGTATTGGCTGTTTGGATAGAACCCATGATTGTATTTTTTTGCCCTCTGCAGCAGGCATGAGATTGCACAAGTAGAAAGGGACTCCATTGTACTGTGACACTGGGTTGACTGTCCTGGGGGGTTTACCTGAATTAATAGAGGATGCGAAGGAGTCCTGAAGGGTTCACGATGCCAGGATCATTAGAACTTGTGTCTCTTTTCTTTTATGAGAAAAAGTAGATTTTCCCTTATGACAATTAGTTTGGAGATCAACGGTGTTGACATTCCCCTTTACCTTTGCTGCCCTGTCTGATGAAACTCTGGACAGTTACATCATAGAAAATAACTTTTTACTAGATTTACTTGCATACAAGATGAGGTCTCCCCCCAATTTGTATGGAGAAAAAAATCCCGGTACCTTATAACTGCATACAAGGAAATCTCACTAAGAACATTGTTTTTCATTAAACTGCAGTCAAAAGCAGCATGTGCTCAGCAATGGAAACCAGCTATGAAGTTGTTTAATTGCAGTCAACACTGAGCATGACTATAAAACATATGGCCCACAGTGGGCAAACATGCTGATGGGAACCTAGCACAGGAATAAGTTAATGTAGCCCAGCTGAATAAGATATATGACAGTGCCCATTAAGTGCTGTCCCCTCACTGCTGACTTTTTTCAAGTTAGGGTGAGACATGACATTGAATAATGTTCACTCAGAATTCCTCTGCCCCCCCCTCTCAACCTGTTGCATAGTGTGGCCCCATTAATCCATGAAGTGAAGCTAGATCAGACTGTCCAGTCTGCACCTAATCTACATATAAAATTTTGGAGTATCCCAGGACTTGTGACAAAAACATCTGGTCCAGTCATGAGTGGGGACTAATTAGGACATGGATCCTTTGTGGGGTGGTATCTGAAGCACACACACACATACTGTACAAGTAGGTACCCAAGTGCTGCTCAGAAGTGTTTATGGGGTCCCTGTTTTAAAACTTGCAGCAATTTCAAGAAAAGGTGACATGCCTCAATTCTGGATCAATTAAATGAATGTGTACTATATGCAAAATGCTACATCTATATTTAATTTCAAGGTTATTGCTTTGAAATTTGCTCCTCACTTCCATGTTCTCAGGGAGAGCATGGTCTCATAGTAAGGAGGCGGGGAAGTGGCTGCCAAGGGAAAAAGCTGGGGGAAAGCAGAAAGCAAAGCGCTACATGATTCCCTCAGATTAATTTTCCCTGCTGGAGTCGGGGGGAGGGGGTTAGGGTTAGGTGGGGAACAAATTCCAGATAAACCTCCAATAATTAGATTCTATACCTGCAAAATTATAACAAATTTATACTTTTTTCCATATATAGAATCAAATTATTGGGGGACTGTCTTGTAACCAGTGTTGTCTGCTATACACACAAATACTGTAACTGTCCTGTAAGCAGCTCCATGATGATAGTCAGGTGATGCTGTCTCATGCCTCAGAGAGGCTGCTGAGCCATAACTGTCTTAACCTACAACTGCATGCTGTATGTTGTACAATCTTTGGGAGAGCAAAAAGAGACAAAAGTCTGGATTTTTAGAGCCCCATGAACAGCCACTGGGGTATACTCTCCAAAACGACAGTCACGTAGGGCATGTGATTAGCAATATTTTGTGTTCCTATTTTAAGGACAGGAGCTAATTTTGAATTTCAGTACCATATGTTTTTATTATACTTTGCATAACTTTCAATGGATTATATCTTGAAAATACTATGGATTATTTCATGAAATATTTTAAGTGTGGGGACTGTGTTTGCACAGAATGGGGTCTGCTTCATTCATACTTTGTGTGCTATTACGGAACGTTTTATGTTGTGGACAATGTTCATTCACTTTATAGAATATGGTTAAGCTCTAGTTGTTTTTTGTTGCCTATTTTAGCTAGCATACTGTTCATGTAGGACTGTATTCTGTGATTTGCAGGCTATGCTCTTCATGACAACATTTACATAAAAACACTGGTTAAATAAAACATTCTGTTTTTGCAAAAACTTAAGTACAAACACAGGAGCTATGAGAAACTGCAAAAAATAAAGTATTAGAAACAAAAATAAAAGTAAAGTGGTGAAAATAGTTAACATAGTTTGAGATAATCTGTTTACACAGCTTTCAACAATTTACTGTTGTTTGTTGCCACAGATTTTCTGCTTGGTCACCCTTGTGGAATCTCAAGGGCTGAATGCTAGGGCAGGAATCCCATCTGTGATGGGATCCAAGGTGCTGGCCTTAATATCCTGAAGGAAGGAGCTGCGGTTGAGTGTCCTCAAAGAGGAGTTCTCTAGGGTATGGGAGTGGAGTTGTAGTTGCTGTAGTGCTGTGCCAAAGGAGAGAGATTGGAAACTTTGATAGAGCTTGCTATGCTTTCTAGCAATGCTGTTCCTGAACTCCAGGAGTTGCATCTCCCTGTCATTGCAAAATTCAATTTGGCCTACTCCTTGTTCACAGAGAGGTCTTTTTCTCTGTTTCTGGGCTGCCTCTGTTGTTTCTTATTCTTAGCCTTGAGAAAGTGTCCCTGATGATCTGTTTTGCCCATCTTGCCCCATATAAGATGAGAAAAGCAACATGACTACATTGTTTCTTATTCAGTTTCTGTGGCATCAAAGATTATATTTATCATACCATCCCCTCAGGGCCTCTTCCCATACAAGAAGTCTCTAAAGATGGTACATCAGTTTCCACCTTTACTTCCCATCTGCTTAGGACACTGATGCAATGGACTATCTGTGCACTCCTAAAATGTCTGCAGAGACTGGCTGGTGATAGCAGATTTAAATCTGGAGGGCTGTGTGTTTATGTGCCAAATCAGTAAGTTG